TATTTATGATATTTAAAATCTTTTTATTTTTTATGGTCATATATCTCAATATCGAGATGATCAATCAAAGGGTTTTCCAACATTAAAACTACCTTTTCCGATAGATTTTTGAGGGGTATATGTAGTTCTACAGGTAGCATCCTTATATAAACTTTTTCCTTAAAAAAGGGCACGTATACCCCAATGAAAACCCAAGAAAGGGTGACGTCTACTCTCCTTGAATTAGGACGCTAGGGCAGTTCTGAATTTTGAAAGATGGGAACGTTACTCGATCTGCTCAACGTGGGTCAATCACCGTCCATCAACGGTCATGGAAGGATCTTCGATTCGAAATTTGGAGGGAGAAACTGAGGTGTTCCGCTCTCTCGCTGGTTAGGATTGGACATGAAGGATTGACCTCAAATTGATAATTATAACACAAAGGACTCTCTATCTGGTTAGGATCGGACAGCAAGGATTGAACTCAAATTGGTAATTGCAACAAAAAGTATAAGGAACCATTCTGATAACTAAAGACGATGGGAGCCATTCAATTCTTAGAGCGAGAAGAATCGATGGAGGATACATGCGTCTCTGAAGCCATGACAAATCCTGAGAACGTTGCAGAATTCTTGATACTTCTTTCGCAAGCTCAGGAGCCCCTCTTTCCACACTGGGGAAACAAAAAGAGGCGTTTACATGTGAAGACGGCCGGAAAGCTGACCCACAAAGGCTGGAATTCTTGTTTCCATAATGTGACCCACAATGGCGGCAATAAGAAGAAGAAGGCCAAGAAACAGAGGCCACAGAGCCCATCAACGCCACTTTCCTTGAGTGGAGATGGAAGTGGGTCAGACTACCTCTCTTCCCTTTCTAAGGTTTGGGTTTAATTCATATGTCTTTGAGTTTTCTTGCTTTACTGGTTTGGTAATTTTGGTTTCTTCCTTTAATGGTTTGTGTGGTTTGCAATTCCAGTGGTTTCCTCTGTTTAAAGCCCTAAATTGGTTTTCGTTTCTAATTTGGTGGTGTTTGGTGCTTTCGCCAAGTTGGGTTTATTGATTTCTCCTTGGTTTTAAAGTAGTTTCTCTCTCAACATCAATCAATGGGACTTGATGGTTTCCTATTCTTGGGTTTTCTTGCCATCTCCTCTGGTTTTTGTGGTTTTCCCACTCTTCTCTAGTGATGGGTTTTCCTGGTTTTAGGGTTTTGTTGTTTTCTGATTATTTGGGGTTTCTTGCTTGTATCTTGTGCAAAATTCTAGTCCAGAATCAAGTGTTGCAGATTCTAGCAAAATGAAAGCTGATTGTAAAGGTCTAATTCTTGGTTCTTGAAATTGGAGAGAGAGATCTTTTAAGCATTGCTCCTAATCTTAATTTTCGTGGGCTTTACTCCTCTTGGATTTCATTCCAGTTGTTATTCTTAGCGTTCTTTTTCTTCTTATTTTTCTGTACAACTCCTTTTTCTTTATATCTACTCTCTGATATATTTGCTGTTGCTTTTCATCATCTCAGGTTGCTAGAGCTCAAAATCCAAGGATCAGTTGTGAGCCAACCACTAGGCGAGACTCTAGATCAAAGGGGAAGGTATTTTATTTTCTGCTCTCTCTCTCTGTTTCTCTGGACTCTGAAGTGATGCATTGATAATTTCTGCTAGCTTCCTCTTTTATTGCCAGTTAAATGGATAGTTATTTCTCTTTGTTGTTTTTGTGTCTGTTTTAATAATTGTTAAAAAAATTTTGAGTACCAAAATTTATTCCTCTTCTTCTATCCCCGCTTTTATTCTTTTTCTTTTATGTTTATGTTCTTGAAGTAGGGAAGAAAACCAACATGAAAAAGAAGCTCAAGGTGAGCAACTCCCACCTCTCTCCATCTCTACCTTTCTATTGAATGTTATTTTACAAGCTTCTGTGCTATGTGATTATGATCCTATTTATTGAAGATTCATCGTTTTATGCTTTTCTGCTGAATTTTCTATAGGAACTTGTTCTATGAATTTATGGTTTTTTTTTGTTTTTTTTGGGCAAATGAATTGTCTTCTCTTCACATTTCATTTCATGAAGACTTCATGGGTTTTCTATTGGGATATTACTCTTATTCCACTGAAGTGCTTGCTACTCACCTTTTTGCATCCTGGTCTATGATACGAATGCATGTACAATCTTTATTGGTAAGAGGTTATTACTCTTGGTCATCTCTAGGTTTTTTTTTTCGAAAAGTACAATTTACTTTTAGTATGAGTCACAACCACTGTTGCCTCGTTTTCCTTCTCCTACTTCGCAAATAATAGAAAACATATTGTACACTGGGTGGACGGTATTTAGGTAGAAGAAATTGACATTCACCTTCTATTTCCGTGATGGATGGTGAGATATGCCCTAGATGGGTGATGCCGACAAAAGGAAATTGTGCCTAATCGCCACAGTCTGCCATCAAGAACAAACAGTGCACGAAATCTTGATGTAAAGTACCATCATCTATCACCATTTGTCATTGTTATAATTCCTCAGAATAAAACTTGGTTTTTACAGCAATCTAATAACTTCTTTGTCCAATAGCTTGAAATCATTGTACAATTTTGTTTGATGGTCGTTGCCCGTAGATGCTTTTTCAGCTTAGTTTCATTTATGATGAACTTTGTGTTTCTTGCTTGTGTTTCTACTTTTCAATCTTGAAAGTACACTTCCTAAAAGGCAATAGGAAATGACATGATTGTGACTCTGTTTACAAGGTGTCTATAGCATGAGGTATCTAAACTGTTTATTTTTTAATGAACATGACATCAAATTCTGTGCCAATGCTTATTCAGATAGCTTCAACTCTATTTTGTGTACTCTTGTTCCACTCTAATTATAATTATGAGCACATTTTCCTCGCATGAATACCTTTAGAAGTTCATAGTGTCTATTATATCTATGCATCTCTAGAGAGAAGATTAATACACCTTTTTAGCTTTACTTTGTGTCCCACTTGGTTATTGTTATTTGCACATTTGCTCACACTAATACTTACTGTAACATATGTATGCATCTCTTGAGAAAAGGCTCTTAACACTTTTTTTATAGTTCTATACGCTATTCAATAGAATAGTTCAATGCTCTCAAATCAAATGTGGTGATGCAATCTTTTTTTAAATTTTTTTTCTAAAATCTAATTGTATCTTAAGAATTTCCCTTGCAATTTGAAAGGAAAGAATTCTTCTTGCCTTCTCTACTAATTTTTTAGGTTGTACAATTGTAGTGGACAGCTTGGTCCGAAACATTAAACAATGAGTACCAGTATCTTTGCAGCTTCAGTAAAACACTGAATTTGAATTTGGAGGGACAAATTAGATGTCAAGGGCTGCCTTGTGCATGACTATGCAAATACCATTTTTGGTAAGAGGTTGTCTTAAAAGAGAACAGGTTTTTTACATACAAGACCATGTATATATCTATATATTTCCATAAATAATTACGTATATATCAGATAAATTTTTTTCCTTTTTTTTTTTGTCAAGTATGTTGACTGATAAAGACTATATGTAGATTATATGATTTCATTGTGTTTGTTTGAATGTAATGGTGATTGACAAGGCCTGTGTTTTATTTCTCAATATGTTCAAATGCCCTCCTCAATTTTTAATACTCTCTCTCCCTCTCTCTCTCTCATATATGTGTACTGTGATTGGATATGTGGAATTGACCATATGCTCTCTCTTACATATACATACTATGATTTCTCTCTTCCTTTCTCTCTCTCTCATATATGTATACTGTGATTGGATCTGTGGAATTGACCATATGCTCTCTCGTACATATACATGCTATGAGTGGAATTGAGCATATGTGATAACTAGTGAAACTGTGATTGAATTTTAGCCATGCTACTCTTGCAGATAGACCCCATTGAGATATTCATATCATTTATGAGCCAATCTCATGAAGCTACAACATTGAGAACCGAGATCTCGGCATGTCATGCCATCCTTGATTTGAATTTGTTGCCAACAGTGGAAGAGGAGGAATTCAATTGAGATGACTATGTAGTCCTTGCATATTTTTGAGAAGATCACATTTCATTTATGAGCCAATCTCATGAGGCTACAACATTGAGAACCGAGATCTCAGCACGGCGTGCCATACTCGATTTGAATTTGTTGCCCACGTGCAAGAGAGGAGGAATTCAGTTGAGATGATGACTCTATAGTCCTTGCATATTTTTTAGATCACATTTTTTATATATGTTTGATTTAAATTTTTTATTCTTGGATTCTTACTAAATATGAATTTATTCATTTTGCTGTCAGACTTCATGTTTATTTTGAAAAACTATGTAATCATCGATGGAAAAGATATTGCACAAGGGAACCATGTATGAAAAAAGTGAAGCATTTTATACATTGTGAATGTTCTTTCTCAAGTGAAGTTCTATTTTCTTCCTTAATCAGTTATCAAAACAAATACTTTGAGCAAACGAGAGAATCTCTAATAATTTCAAGAGAACATTTCCTCATGATAGTTTCCTAACCCAAACCAAAACATTTTTCCTTTTTCTAACCCAACCAAAGAGGATTTACTGGCTGAGTTTTGCTTGCTTGGTATCAAAGGGAGCTTTACCTGAATTTGTGGGGAGAGAGAGAGAGAGGGGATTCCAAACGTCCCACTCTGCTAAACAATGAGCAAAAGCCCATGTGAAATTCCTTCATCTGTGATCTCTCTTTCTAGAAAGTGGGTTACGGGGTTAGATGAGGAAAAAGAAAAAGAAGTTCTTGAGGTATTTAGTGAGGTACTTTTTCAACAGGGGTTTCATTGTGGAGTTCTTTTTTGGTAGGGGAACATGGTAATTTTCCCTCTGATTTTCTATTCTGATTTTCATAGAATAGCTCGTATATAATGCTCCCACAAGAGCATAGTGTGCACCCACTCCCTCGGTCAGAATTCCTACTTCGGGAAATTTTTTTGTATTTGAAATTTTGGGAATCAATCCAGAACAAGTAGATGATTATTTTATTTTTTTTAAAAACAGGTTGATTATTGAGTTTTCTAACATTTAGATCTCACTCTCTAAAAATTAGATAGTTTGTGTTTAATCTTGAGATATTATTTTTTTCAAGTGCATAGAGAGTGTTATAGGAAATTTTTTTTTGTTTTTTATTGACATTAGCCTATGGCTTGAAGAAGTTGCATCCCCAAAATTTGGCATCCTAAAGTTAATATTAGATTGGATTTAATTTGAAGAAGTAAATGGATAGTATATTTCAGTAAATCTTTCAACTTCATGGAATCTCACTTTGCTTTAGACCTATAATGGGGTTGTCTTGAATGCGATGCACTAGAAGTAGTCCTATAAGGGCAATAAACATGTTTCATTGATCTTGTGGTACAATTGACGATAAGACGAGCGAAAGTAGATATAGGCAGATTAACCATATGTAGCGCTAACCCAGTACAATACTAGTTAGGAGGTGTGATATAGTCCAAGTGAAAGGCTTTAAAAAGGCAAGAAGAATGTTCAAATAGATATAGATGAAATTAGTGAGAAAATATGTGAGGATTTATGGTATCATAGAGGATATAGTCTTTAAAAAGTAAAATGATAGAGCATGATTCATGTAGTGGATCACAAATGATTAGAATAAAATAATAATGAAGGTGATGATGACTCACCTTGTTGGACAATGGTGCACGTTCTTAAAAAACCGTCACTATACTATCTCTTGTTGCGAGAGAAGGCTGCAGAGTAGAATACCAGTGGGCATTGAGCGACTAAGTTCTCATGTAAATGGACTTGGATATCTATGCAACTCATGCACGTTTCTTGTCTAATTCAAGATAATGACAAATCTACATAGAGAGAGAAAGAGAAAGGCTGGTGTTAGTCTACTAGCTAACAGCGTTAGTCAACGGCTCAGATTGAATCTGAGGCTCGATCCATTGGTCACAATTGTATTTTGTATATGAATTTTCAATTTTTTTTTTTTACAAATCTAATCACTTAAAATTTTGAGTTTCTATTATTTAAAAATACAATAATCCAATAAAAATATTAAAAAATAACAGCCAAAAAACAAAAAAAACGAAAATACCCCCTAAAACTTTTTCAGGAGTATTTTGATCAATTTATATTTTACAAATTATTTTTTAAATATTTTTATTAGGTACGCCTTGATGAGAAGAATAAACCTCCAAAATTTCAAGTGATTTGAATTTGTAGAAAAACATAAAAATTCAAATACAAATTAAAGTCGTGACCCTCAGATCGGCTCATATTCAATCTGAGCCGTTGGCTACACTGTAGTTGTTAGCCTGCAGGTTAAAGCCAACATTTCCTATATATATATATATATATGGATAGATCTACATGGACCCGGACCCAGATGGTATTCGGGTCCAAATCTTGGACCCAACCTCGACCCGCCTCGTCCAATTTTTTGACCCATACCCAGACCAAGTCACCCTGGTCAGGGTCATTTGCCACCCCTCGATAATGAGAGTTGTTGGGTCCACCAAATTCCACGAGCAAATTGTGGCCTTTAGAAACGAGATTCTGTAGGATTTTTCTGGGCTCAATTGTAGTAGGGAATGTATACAATGAGACCATTTACCTTTTATACAAAGGTGGTCACAATTCCTTACAACCATTTGATGTGAAATTTGATAGTTTGGATGTGTCGCAAAGTTCAAGAAAATTCATTTTGAAGTTTGAGCTTGGTCAATGGAGTAATTGTAGCCACCCAATTTCACATCCAATGGTTAAGATTAATGTGACCACCTTGTATCAAAGGTAAATGGTCTTATTCTATATTTTTCCATTATAGTAAAGAGACTAATTTTTGTCAGCATGAGTGCTTTAGAGTATTTTCCATCTCATTACTCCATCTTTTTAGAAATAAACAATTAATTCAATAAAGAATTTTTTAGGAAAAGAGAAAATGATAAGAAATGATAGGCAAAGACCTGTATCTTTACAAGGGCAAGTGAAAATAGAAACCCTAGGATTATAACAATACAAAAATAATTAAAATTTTGAGTTAGAAATATCCATTTCATTGCAATAAGTTGCTTTTTTAAACTTCACATAATGGACAACAAATACAAAGACATGATACATATTTCAATATTTATATATTTTCAATCAAATAATGAAAAACCATAATGCAATACTATTAAATTTTTTAAAATTGAAAGAGCTAAATTTTAAATAAATTTTAGTGATTTTTAGAAATTTTTTAAGGCCAAATTAGCAGATCCACCGATCCGACTGGTTTTCATGATGAACGATCTGAGTCGTCGTTCCATTGTTTTTAACATTGGATTATATTGTAATATCCCATTAGTGTGAGGTCTATATTGTTTTTTTAACAATATTATGTATTTCTATTGCTCTCAGATAGACTACTACATTCTGCAATACTACCCTTTTTTTGGCTAAACCATTTGCCAATTTGTTAGCTTCCCTATACACATGTATGAAAGAAACCACTATTGTGCTGCATAAATCCATAATTTAAATCTAAGTTGCTCTAAATTTCCAAGGCAGCCTAGACTCTTTATTATTCCAATTAGCAACATTTTGAGAATCCCTTTCAACTAAGCTAAAACCGTCAACCCACTTCACCGGGACTAACTTAATTCCTTGTAAACAACTTAGCTGATCTTGATTTGCATTATCACATCCATACAATCGTACATAACAAAAAGTGGTCTCACCCTTATAGTTCCTCACAACTTATCCCGTTCTTTCTGGACCCGAATTTCTCAGAGAACTGCCATCAAAATTTATTTTTACTCTTAGATTTTAAATAAAATTATAAAATATTAACTTTTTTAGGTCTTGTAAGTTTTTGAGATTTTTTTTATAAAATAATAAAAAATTTTGAGGAAGATCGTGCATAGAAGTAAAGCTAGGTGCATGCAGTAAAGATGTACTTCTAAAGTCTTATGTGATCATAGTATGCTATTGCAACTAAAAGGAAACTTCTATAAGCTTGTTGTAAGACTAGCCATGCTTTATGGAACATAAAATTAGGATGTCAAGAAATAATATATTCATAGAATGAGTGCATTTGGGATGAGGATGGTGAGATAGATGAGTGACAAGAAATGATAGGATTCAAAATGTATACATCTGAGGGAAGTAGATGTTGCTCTAATAGGCGATATGATAAAGGAAAGAAAACTTAGATGTTCTGGCCATGTGCAGCATTGACCTAGAACAATATTGGTTAAAAAGAATGGTCGAAGGCTCTAAAAAGGCAATGGCAATAGCCCAAACAGATATGGATGGAAGTAGTGAGAAGAAATATAGTGACTTAGAGTCCAACAAAAGGTTTGGCCCTTGATAGAGTGGAAAGAGGGATAAAGATTCGTGTAGCCAACTCCAATAGTTGGGATAAGACTCGGACGATGCTGATGAAGAATTGTGGACCTTTGGACCACCAATATTCACATGCTCCTTCAATTTAGGGGATCACAACCCCTTTAAAGTTGATGGACCATGTGAATATTTATAAATCACAACCCACAATATTTATTTTATTTTCCTAAGCTTTGTTGTCACATGGGTTCGAAACTCTGCACGGGGAAAGCTTTGCTAGTGTTATATGGGCGTGGCACCTCAAACACCCAACTCAGGGCCATTTGAGGAAAAGTCCAATGAAAAGAGGGGATTAGACTGTAAAATGTAAAAGTCATAGAATTATTTTGTAAGAGAAGGTATTTAATGAAACCATGTACTCTTAATATTATGGGTGTGGTTTCAATACTGAAAATCTTTGAGACAGCCTTAAAATATATTTTCATCTTTAATTATAAAATTTAATGCTTAAAAAATAGTGTCGATCGTGCAGATCTATGAGAACTTGAAAATCTTGAAAATTGATAGTAAAAAACTGCGTTACAATATGTATTATTTCCAAAACTTGAAATTCATTTTTTTATCATGTCCATGCATCTTGATGTTGAGATGATCAATTTGAGGATATATGGGCATCAAAACAACCTCTCTTCTTTTTGACAAGATTACTTAGCTTTTATTGATATTAAATAGGGAAATATACATTGGTCAAAATAAATAATTTGAAATAACTATCTGGTCGACATTCCCCCCTTTCTTCGCCATCTCATCTGCAACCTCATTTGACTCCCTGAAGACATGTTGAAAAGAGATAATCAATGAAGAAATTGCATCCATCACTTGAAGTCACAAAGATCTCAAACGCCATGGGGGTTTAGCAATGCAAATGCACTAATTTATTACATTCAAAGAATCGCCTTCCAATATCACTGCATTTCTAAATCCCTTCTCTCTCCAAATCAAGTGTCCTTGCAAAAGGGTTCCTAACTCTGCATGATTTGCAGTAGCCACACCACACGGTCCAGCATAACAAAAAAGAATGTTCCCACTCTGATCTTTGCATATTCCACCAAAACTTGCTACCACCGGGTTTTCAAGGGAATAACCATCAAAATTAATCTTTAGAACTCCAATTACCAGTGGTACCCATCTTAATTTTGATCTAACTTTCAAAAAACGATAGGCGGTGAGATTATCCATATTTGAAAATACATCAACTTTAGAAATCCCAAAGCCTTCCTTGGTAACTCTAAGCCAACTCTAAACAGAATTCAAAATCTTAAATTGTAGCTCCTGAGTCCCTAAAGATATGTCATCAAACTTTCTTCTATTTCTCTCTAGCCACAACTCCCAAATGATTGCACCTCTAAAAATATCCCAAATCATTCCACCAGCTTTGGAAGACCAATCAATTTAAGTTGTTGCATTCATTGTACCAATGATCCCAGCATGACTATATTTACCCCAATATCGTACATAGCTCATTGCCAAATGTGGTAAAAGAATGGACATAAAAAAAAAAGATGAAATGAACTTTCTTCATCACCTTTACAAAGCAAGCAAACATTTACAATCACCTTTTCCCTCTTCCTTAGGTTGTCCAAAATCAAAACCTATCCTTGCGCCATAACCCAAATGAAAGCTTTAACTTTAAGTGGGATCCTCCATTTTCAAATATCTCTAAGGTCCGGTTGGGTCCATCTAATCCGATCATGGAAAAGTATGGAATAAGCAAATCTTATTGAAAAATTTCCATTCTTTCAAGTACTCATACAGCTTCATCGTTAGCCTCCAAGAAAAAAGACGAATGTTAGCTAAACGCTGCAACAACTCAGATAATTATTTAAAAACCACATTGGGAATACGATTATAGCAACAATCAATATTCCATATAGCATCACGACCATTTATCAATCCAATTTCAATCACCTAGCGATCTCATTTGAACATCTGTGAAACAAATCTGAAAATTTGAACTTAAGAGCCTCCTCTGTTGCCTATCTCTGATGCCAAAACAACACATTGTCACCTTTTCCTACATTCCACCTAATTTGGTTGAGTATAAAAGTTCTCATGGAATTTATTAACTTCCACACATGAGACTGCCTCATACCAACATAGTTTCTTCTTGTAATAAACTTATTTAAAGGATCTATCCCATATTTAGCAACAAGAACCTGCTTCCACAATTGATCATCTTGATCTAAAGATCTCCACCACCACTTATAAATTAGAGCTTCGTTCATAAGTTTGATTTTACGAATTCCTAAACCACCTTCTCCTTTGGGTGTGTACACCATTTGTCAACTTACTAAGTGACACTTCTTCTGGTCTCCATTCGAGCCCCACAAAAAGTTCCTCATCTTCTACTCAATTTTTTTGTTAACCGAAGAAGGCAGAACCAAAAGGGACATTTGGGATATGGGTAAGTTGGAAATTAATGATTTAACTAAAGTCAATCTTCCACCCAAAGAAAGATTTTTAACCTTCCATAAGTCCAACTGAACATTTGCTCTCTTAAGTATTGGATCCCAAACCTCCTTAGGTAACCTAAAATCCGAAATAGGCATTCCCAAATAAGTGACAGGGAAATGATCCACTTTGCAACCTATAATTCTAGCCATCTGATCAACAATTGCTCCATCACAGCTTACCTCAATCACTGAGGTTTTCCCGAAATTCACTTTAATACCAAGTGTCACTAAACAACATCTCAGAAATCTCCTAATATAAATCATTTGATTAGTTTGATAACTACAGAAAATAATAGTGTCATCTGCATATTGCAAATGAGAGATCATTAGAGATTCATCTAAAACTTTGCAACCACTAAACCATTGCCTTCTAACCACATTATTCAACATCAAGCTAAAAGCTTCACCCACAACTGTGTATAAAAAAAAGAGATAGTGGGTCACCTTGCCTCAGTCCTCTAGATGCACTAAAGAAACATTTTGGTTATCTATTTATCAAACAAGAGAGTATGCCGATGACAAACATCCATTAATCCAATGTCTCCACCTTACCCCAAAACCCACGCACTTCAAAATTTCATCAAAACAAAATTAAAGAAGTTTGACACCAAAATTATATTTATGATAAAATTTAGAGGCGCACCTTAATTGGATTGTTTAAGGTTGTAGCCTTATGCAAACCCCACCAAAAACAAAACATAATTTTACGATTGATTTCTTCCCTTGAAAAGAAAAAGTTTATATAAGGTTAAAACCTTATACAATCCAAGTAAGGTGCACTTCAAAAAAAAAACTAGTAGTGAGTGTTCAGAAATTGGAAAAGTTTGTACGGGATTACTTCAACCTTGAGATCAATGAGATATGAAAGGAAAAAAAAAAAAAAAATTCAATTTAAAAAAATGGTGCATCTTGTAACAAGTTATATGTTTATTTTTAATAATTTTCAAATATATTAAAAAAGTTTATATAGAGTTAATGCTCGAAACAATAAAATTAGAGCTCACCTCAAAAATTCCATTAGAAGAGGTTATTTTGATGTTCAAATATCCTCAAATTGATCGTTTCGACATCAAGATACATGGACATCAGAAAAAATAGATATGAAGTTTTTAAAATAGTACATCTATTTTTTATTTTAGAAGTGCGATTTAGTTCTACAACTGACGGCGCCTTTCCCTATTTGAAAACCCCTGTTTTTCCTGCCCGTTCGAGCGGGAAACCCATAAACCAGTCCCCCCTCCTCTCTCTCTCTCTCTCTCTTCCTGTTCTCTCTCTCTCTTCCTGTTGACATCCTTCTCTCTCTCTAAGGAGTGACGAAACATGGCGGAATACTCATTCCCAGTCCTTAAGACAAAGGACATCGCCGCCATTCTCTCTCAATTTGAGATTGCAGGTATCTCCCATGACCAACTCGAGAGGCCCTCTCCCGAGTTTGTTTGCAGCCTCTTTGACGCATTCTTGAAATATCTCGATCCCGAAAGGTCTCCACCCTCTCTCTCTCTCTAAGCTTTCTAAGATTTCCATTCTCTTTCTAGGGGTTTTCCCCTCTTTTATACGGTAATGTTTGCTGCAGAGATGATCCAGGATCAGCCTCTTTCGCTGCCCTCGAGGTATTGGAGAATCCAGAGCATCACACTCAGTCAGTTCTAGTGGTGAATTTGTACTGCAAATTAAAGGATGTTCTCTCGAGGATTGGGGTCGATGGTTTCTTATTCAACGACTTGGTAATACCAGAATCGAATAAAACTGTGTACTTCGTCAGTGGTCTTATCAATTTCTGCTTATATAGGTGTGTTTACATGTGACTTCATGCTCGATCTTCTCACTTCTATTGCATAGAACACTCTCATTGAAGTTCATGGAGTTTTTCTCTTGCTTGTTCCTTTTGAAAGTTCAAGGTATTTTTTTTCCATGATGGGATAATTCGGTTTGGTTTTGGCTTAATGTACTGGGCATTCAAGGAGTTTATTGCTGTGAAACTTTTAAGATTTTGTATAGCACTTCTTTATATTACATCAGGGGAACAACATCAGTTTCTTCAGGTGTAATAATGATTCATTGCTATTTGTCCTTATCATTATTCTTATGTATAATGTTGCAGAGAGGACAAAATAGGTCTTATAGACCCTGTTATCAATAATGACTATGCGGCATCTCTAGAAAAGTTGGAGATGAAGTTAGCTGAGGTATAAGTGTAATTGTTGCATTGAACACTTTTGGATTTGCATCTTCTTTCTTTCCTTTTCTTTATACAAATATAGTTTCTGTTTATGGTCTTTCAGAGCAGGATAAATAACGATCTGAACTCTCGTGCTGTTTTAACAATGAAATGCATTTGGTTCAGTTTCTTTCTTTTGCTCTCTGATGATGAAGTTCCCACCACGTGGTTCTTTTGGAGAATGCCTTTCTCACTCAGTGGTTGGCTTGAATTTGCAGAAGAAGAATGAGCTTTTGGAAATTGAGGGTGCTAGGAAAGCTGAGGAGCCTATGGTTAATCAGTTAGAACCTGAAGTCAAGGAGTTGAAGCGGACCGTTCTTAATCTGAATGAGCAGCAAGCATCATTGAAGGCCACGCATAGGAACCTTAGAGAGAAATTAAAAGAAATTGATGAAAAGGTTATCATCCTATCATTGATTTTGACTTTTTACTTCCTCAGTGTCATAATGGCTATGATCCTTTTTATATTTGTTTTGCCTGATAATTGCATTTAATACTATTTTCTAAATTTTTACCCAGTCGATTTCCGACCTGCTTGAGCTTTTTGAAGCTATAAAGATATGATGGGCGACTATCTACCCTATTTGACTACACTGACTTCTCAGATTTCATTGTTTGCATTTTCATGTGAAGTTCTCCCCTACTCTAATTTGCCATACTTTCCTCAGGATTGAGCACTCATCAATAAGAGCTGCTTGTTTTCATTTTTTGCCATTTGCGGAGAGACATAAATCATCCTGATGAACTTCATCAAGGCACATATGGAAAGGCTTGTAATGTGAAAGCCTTTGCATTTCCACACCCTCACAATGACACTCGTTATATACTGTAACTAAAAACTTGAACTATCTTGGTTTTTTTCCCTATCATTTTTTAATGATGAAAATCTGGATTGATTGATGCACTTTTTTAGATAGCCTTTAGTTTTGGTACATATCGTGTCTGAGTCATGCAAAGATGAAATCGTTTTACTTGTTGTAGTTAGCAGTAATAATAAGCACATGATGTTCTGTTACTAGGCTTCATCAAATACCCAACCTTCCCTCCCAACAACAAATAGGTCACAATGTAAGTCACTGATTGATACTTCTATAGTTGCAATGAGATCTGGAAGGCCCTTATCCTGGTTCAGGAGTTTCATTTCTAATTTGCAATTACCCAGTTAATTTCAGTAGTTTGCTTTGCAAATTGCTGCAATCGAAACGACAAATGGCCATGATCAAATTCAAGACTAGAAAAGTACTTCATGAGCTCGAGGGCCAATACTGTAGCAGTGGTACTTCCCCTGAGTTCATCACTTTTTAAATGGTGAGGGTCCCACAAAGGCTCAAGACAATTTCTAGAACAACTTAAGAACTTAAAAATAGATTTGGAGCTTCATAAAAGCTCCACCACATCTAGCATCAATCAAATGGATGGTCCAGATAAAATTCTGACTGGGGGGGAATGGAATTGTATTTGGAGCATTCTGGGCTTGTTTGCATTACCAAAAAATTGCTTAAGTTCTTAACTGCTGTGAGAACGTGCAGAGTGTTTGGCCGTATGATTACAAAAGTCCTGTGAATGAAGCAATCCACTTTGAATAAAGTTAAAAAAATGATAAAGACTACTTAAAAGTCAAAGATTGATGAATGTTATTTGAATGTTAGATCACATAACCAAAGTAAAAAGATTTGAAATGCGTTCATGCACGATAAAAAATATCAAAATGACATTAAATTTAAATTTTGGTGATAAACGAATGTTTTGGAGTGAATTAAGAATCAATTGTAGCATATACCCCTTTAAGAGTCAAAATCCCAGACCAATTATTAGGTCCAAACACATCAAATCACATTCGCCAGCATATGAAATGCATTGAAAAGGAAAAATCCTGAATCGATTTGAAAAAAGTTAAAGTTTGTTCTATGATATATTTAGATCAGGGTATGAACTGTTAACTGCAGTGGAAAGTTGTAGGTCTATGTTTTTGATACATAATGCTCACTGAATTAAAATAGGAGCATTAAAGTCCATGGATCTTTAGGAACCCAAATGAAACTGCAGCCCTTGTTTGACAAATGTTTGAAAGCGCTTGGACCCAAAGTCTCATGTTTGTGGTTGTTGGGCAAAAAGCCATCATGTCCATGTAACCTCCAGATCAATTGTTTCTCGCCATGTTGGAGTTTAAATTTCAGACAAAAAGGAAAATTTTTCGAACTCAAGAACATATATACAGTCATTCTGCAATCTACCCAAAAACCCTTGTGTTGATTTATACTTGTGTTAATAAAGAGGAAATTGTGTTGATTTATACTTGTGTTGATGTGTGTTGATATGTATTGCCCTTAGATTTTGTCTATTGTGGTATTGTAGCAACTATATGGTAATATGTAAGTACTTCGTAAAGGCCGACGTCTCACTCTTGCGATTCTATGCTTTCTTTGGCTGTGGTTGCATTTGCTATTGTAAATATAATCCTGAACATATTGTTGTCTCATGTTTCCCATGGCACATTCCATAGTGCATCATGTCTTGCATAAAATGCTTTAACTTTATGCAGATGCAAAATCAGAAAATTCTCTTGTTTTGGAGTTTGCTACCTCATTTTTAAATAGTACATGTAATGTCAGTTCTTGGATATAATGTATTCTTGCATAAAAATGGTTTAACATTATGCAGATGCAAAATCAGAAAATTCTCTTGTTTTGGATTTTGCTACCTCATTTTTAAGTAGTACATGTAATGCCAGTTCTTGAATATATTGTATTCTGTTATTTTTCATGGCATGAGTCAAGTCATCCACAATGTTGTTTATTTTCAATGATAGTTGACAAAAAATTAACTTGTCATTCATAATTATTAGGAATGCTGATGCTTGAATATTTACAGTTCGCTTTGAAATTAGACATGTCATTATTTAAAACTAAAGTGTTTGCTACCTAGTGCATTATTAATGATTTTCAAGTTCTGGTAGATCTCAAGTGCCGAGTTCCAATTAGCAAAGCATGCTCAAGAAAATTCAGAATTGCGATCTAAAATTGTTCAATCGCCAGAGAAGCTACAGGTAATTAACTTTCTATATGTGTTCTAGAATAATCACATTTTATTTTGGCATAGACATGAAGTAAAATTACCTGATAATCTCCATTCCAACTAGTTTCCATATTTAACCTTATAGTTTCTACATTCTGGTCATTGTCCAATGATCGGATTTTTTTTGAGTTCAAATTTATCGGATTCCAAATAAGATAAGTTCACTGAGCTAGCTTTTTCTTTTCACCATAATTACTAGTACACTTATATGGAATCCAACGACCAAGTGACATATAAAGCTATTGGTTAGTGTTCTTATATGGAATCCAACGAGACTGACATATAAAGTTATTGGTTAGTGTTGAATATTCAAACTTATTGGCAACTTGTGCTTTATGATTGTCATCCATTCACTAACTTTAGGGGGAGTTATATGTGTTTAAGCATTTGTTAATGTATTATTTGATGATATCTATGGGGACATTTATGTGAAATTTGGTCGGACTTGTCCTTTTATGATTGTGTGCCCATATACTCTGAATCTCTCAAAACAGATTACTGTGGTTTGGTGTACCCTGTTTGGTAATTGTTTTGTTAAATTTCTAGAAATGTGATGTTCGTCAAAAAATAAGTTATTTCTTAGGAATATGGTACATGACTAAGTTCTTGTATGAATTGGAATTAAATTCATATGGAAGATATGAGATGTGCTTAAATCCTATCACTCAGCAAAATGTTTAAAAACTGGATGATTGGGTCGAACCTGTCACCCACTTCGGGAACAAAATGGTGGGTAAAAAACAAAAAACCTATGTTAGAGATTTTTTTGTTTTGATTAAAAAAAAATGTTGGGTTTTTCATAGATCAAGGTGATATAAACATTTAGGGACAAATTTGATGAAATAATGATAAATCGAAGATTTTTGATTGGCAAATTAAAAAATGTCCTGAAATTTGGACTCTCAATTTTTTCTATTTTGTTGTTAGTCCAAAAAATTGTTATAGGGATCTGTTAAAGGGCTTCAACACCAACAAATGGTATATTAGTGGTTGAGAAATGAGAGAGACTTTTATCAAAATCTCATCAAAATGCAACTTTGATGAAAATAATGATTTTTGGGTGGCTAAAAGAGATCAATTTTTATCGAAATCTATCAAAAATAGGGGTTAAATCATGGCAGATAAATTATTGGTTGAAAAAGACAAAAAGATGCTAAAGCTCCTTTATTTTTACCTTTCCTTTTTACATGAAAAAGGGGGTATTAGGCGACTTGCTCGAGTTCAGCTAGAACTGGCCTGGTACCTAGCCCATCTTAAGCCAACTTGGGGATTTGTCGATTTAGCAAGAATAATTCTTTTTTTGTGCTACTTGGAGGAAATAGTTCTCTCCACTTAGTAAGAAGTTTTGAGGATCTATCAAATTTCTACATGTGATTTCTGACACATCATAAGCAAGCACATGCCTAAACCCTAAGCTCAGTTTGCTCATTTCAAAATTATGGCTAATCCTTTGCATGTTGGAAGAGTTTTGGAAAAAATTTGAGTCACAAGTGAACCTGTATTTGAGGATCAGAAATGTTCTTTCATTTTTTGAAAGGCTGCAGCTTCTGAAGGCATGAACGTCCCCTGGTCAATAACTTTCCTTGTGGATTAAAAAGATGACAATAGAACATTGTCCTTTTCTTTACTGTTGCAATTCAATATCTACTAGCGCAAACTCTCAATTATGGGCTTTCATCAATGCACAATTTTTGGAAAGAAACTAAGACTGTTTACTTAGGGAACCAGAATAATGCTTGATGATCATGATAGTGATGAAGAAGTAATTGTCCCTTAAATATAAGTAGTATATTGACACCAACTTAGGTGTAGTATTCGAGAACTCGCCCGAGATAACTCTGGCCGAGCTAACTCTGACTTGGGCGGGCACAAGGTACTTAGGTGTACAGTATGCAGGACTTAAGCAAGGACTATACACTTTCCAAAAATAAAAGCAGGGGTGGAAATCTGCCCTCCTTTCATTGTCTTGTATTTCAAGCCTAAACTTCAATCGATTTGAGCCAAATTTGAAACCATAATTGGATTTTTCCCTGATATATCTATTAGATGCAATAGTTTTTTTTAAAAAAACAAATTTTATGTATTTTTCTTGAAAATGGTGACAATATATTTGTATATTACCATAGTTAATTACAAAGAGTACTCATAAGCAGTGACTATGATGAGGCAGCCCACAATCCGGGTGCTTTAAGACAAAAGAAAGTAAGGAATTAGCAGAAAGAAAAAGGTAGAAGGAATTGATAGCCACACCCTTGTAAGGTGATATATCAAGGGGAAGGAGAAAAAGAGAGGGGGAAAGAGGAGGGGAAGGGGGGGAGGGGGATGAATTTTTGGAGGGGAGAGAAAGCTTTAGTGGTCGCTTCAGATTTTTTATATCGATAATTTAGCCAAGATTTTACCCATTTTCAAATATGGTGATTTTTTCGTAAATGATGGATGATGCTCACTGATATTTGATCTCTAAGCCTATTTTTTTGTTCTTGATCTTACCATAAGCCTGATTTTCTCAAAAAAAAAAGGATTTGAGAGATTTGAAATTCATTATTACTATTCGTTTGAATTTTTCAAGAATTTGTATCTCCTAGATCCAAACTCAAAATCCAAAATTGGTTTGGGGGTTTTTATTTGATTGTTTGGGGAGCTTTGACAAGGACCGAAGGCATCGTTTCACACCAAGCGTGAAGATTGGGTGATCGGCCTCAAAAGTAAAATATCAGGAAAATTTCATTTTTTTTTAATACATATATTTGATTGTTTTACTAAATCAGTTATTATAGATTTGTAACTAGTATTGTATAGTATGTATTGTATAGTATATATACTTTTCATTTTTTTCCATTTTTTTTATGATTTTTCTAGTTCTTTTAATTTTCCCATATTTTTTGGATTTGTTTTTCAAGCTAATAAAATTAAGTTTTTCATATATCATGGTTTGTATGCTTTTTTTATTTTTTATGTTTGTATGATTTGTTCAGTTTTTTACTAGTTTTTCTATTTTTAGAAGTTTTTTTTTCAGGAATAGACTGAATTTTTTGGGCCCTTTTTGGCGCATCCCTTGGTTTGAGTGTGATTTGGCCGAGTTTGACCCAAATTTGCCAAGTAACTAAGCTCGGATAGTGGCTGGGGGCGTTGCCCAAGCCTGGTTTTAAAACACTGCTTAGATGTCTTTTAATTCGAACTAAAATGCTAGTACGCCTACGATACAACTACACAAGTATTATATATAGGGTTATGTCAGGGTGCTCACTCTATGGAGTAATTTATCATTGTACTCAACAAATTTGGACACTTGTATATCTTTGTTTTGTACATGGAGTCTTTCTTTAGTAAGGATATTTTTTATCATTAAGAGGGGTGTGATATCAACACCCCATGTGGATGACATCATACCCCTCCTAATGACCAAAAATACCTTTATTAAAAAATGCTCCATGTACAAAATAAGAGTATAGAAGTGTCCAAAATTTGTTGAGTACAATGACAAATTACTCCACAATGTGAGTGCCCTAACATAACTCTTATATATATATATATATATATATACATAGGAAAGATGTTGTGCATCCAGGTGCGTACTGCTACAGTCAACGCTCACGGCCCAGATTGAATTTGGGCCGATCTGACGATCATAGATGTTCG